GGCAGTCTCAGCCGCCGTCTCCCCCGCAGGCACGTCCTCATCTGCCTGGCCGCCTACCTGGGCTGCGTGTGTTTTGCCTACTTTGACGCCGCCTCCGAGATCCCCGAGCAAGGCCCCGTCATCCGCTTCTGGCCCAGCGAGAAATGGGCCTTCATCGGTGTCCCCTACGTGTCCCTTCTGTGCGCCAACAAGAAGTCACCAGTCAAGATCACGTGACGGCGAGGCAGTGGCTGGCTTCTCTCTTTCCTTCCCTCGTGCACCTAGACTTCACTTGCTTGCCAGGGGGGTTCGCAGAGTCAGGGGTGCGGGTCTGTCCTTTTAGAATTCTGTTCCCTTGGTTCCTAACAAGTGTGCCTGGACCACCAGGTCTCCCGGTGCGTGGAAGGAGCGGCTGCCTTGCCCTTTCCCGGGAAAGTAAGGGGATGAGGGGCACTAGGTGTGTCTTCTCGGCGCCGCCTCCGGCTGCCGTGCCTGTAGGGCTGTGTCCTTCGTGGTGCTGGCACAGCAGTCCCGCAGGGGACCCAGCACTGCACGTGCCTCGCTTCCCGGTGAGAGTTCGCTCCAGACCCCACAGTTCCCAGGTGCTCTGGGAGCGGACTCCTCCTGTGACAGACGGAGCCTGCCTGCGCTGCACAAGACCCTCTGACTGCCTGATGGGAGACGCCAGCGATTTTCACTGGGGGAAACTCCTAAAAATCGAAAGCAAACAGATGGAGCACACACACAGGGCTTGTGGCTAAGGAGGCTGGTTTTCCCCCTCGCGGCTCAATAACACAGGTTTTACATCGTGTGTGAATCCTTTTTCTGCTACCTCTGCTGAGAGATGGAACCTGGACTTAAGATCAGGGGGAAGCTAATGAGAAAAACCGTCTATGCCAAAAAGGACACTCCATTGTAAGCCATTCTTGAAGATGAGCACAATCTTTCAATGCTGACATTGCCCCACGCCCCAGTAACCTCCAACACACAGAAGAGCTACAGTGTGAGCATTCCATACGTAGACCTCCCCTCACCCCTTTACTGCTTGACCTCTGAGACACTGCCAAAGGCCTGTGACAATTGTGGTGGGGGTCCTGGTTCAAAATTTGGAGCAAACATGAAGTTTTAGAAGCTCCTTCTCATCAGAAGCCTCCTGTTTGCTGTCCTGTTCTGGAAGTCATCCTCAAGAATCTTGCTTCTTTCTCTGATATTTACAATGGGAATTACACTCCCTATTCTCACAGTACGAGGTGCTTCCTGTGGTTCCTCTGAGCATTTGACCACTTGGCTTTCCTTAAGTGCTGGCCGTAACTACCCACTGGCTGCTTTGGGTGCAGCAGGGCAGATCTCTGGCCTCTGAGTTCCTCTCACTTAAAGTGACACTGGCTACGACTGCTTTCCTCTCCATTGGGCTAAATGGAAGATTTGTTGTCAAGGTGTGAGGTGGGATTTCATGACCTCAGGGATACTCATTCTAAGTCAGGCATCTCTTGCTCTGCAACATTCCACCATGGGAGAGGGCAGGACAGAAGTGTCCTCCCGTCTGTGGACAGGAATCATCTCATTGTCCTAAGTACTAAAGAGTTTGGCAGTAGGAGTTTTTTGACATGTCCAGAAAGTCTCTGGTTAGAATTTGCCCGGGATCTAAGGTGCAAAGTCCAATAAGCAACTGAATTTAGAGTTTAGAAATGAATGTCTTTATTCTATTTCTGTGGTTTTCAGATTATTTTAGCAGCAACCCTGGTTGCAGTAAGAAATCTTGATGGAGCCCTAATGTGTGAAATAGGTTGTATTAGCTTAAATTCATATTGAGGTTAAACTTACAGTATTTCCTGAGTAATATATAAGGCAGTGCAAATGCAAATTAAATGGGTGGCCTCCAAGGTAGAAAAATTTGATATTGAATGAGTGTATATGTAGCTTTATTATAGTTAAAAAAAAGATTTGAATTAAATGCGTATGGAACCTCTAATGTACCTCTCTGAGGCCTTGGTGGCTCGTGGAAGAGAATTGGAAAACTGATGTTAAGTTGTTTGGGTTTCAAGGCTAGAATTTTTTTTTGTTTTTAAAGGGAAGTGTCAGACCGTCCTTACTTCAAATTGACCCACCAGGCAAGGAGTCTGTTCTCAGCTTTTACCCATTCTGCAGTATAAAAATGCTCCAAGTAGGGAGCTTTGACGTATCTTAAGCCCAGCTCTTTTTAGTGTGGCAAAGTAAATAAGGAGAAGCCGAGAGTGTAGGAAATGTTTTTTGTGTGTGAGATTTAATTTCTGTTTTGAAAATTCTTCAGTAATGGGAGCACGGTCCCAGCCATTCAGGAGGACCGTGTCTCCCCATGGTGTGAAGGGCCTGTTCCCTGGGGGACAGCATTCCAGCTCCCAAAGCTTTGACCTTGCCCTTCCGGAAGGTTCTCAGTGTCCTTCGGAAATAGGGATAACATGTGACTGCCCGGTGGAAGGGAGTACCCTAACTCATAAACTATTTCTGACCCTCTTTGATAAGACCAATGACTAAGCTCAGTTTCAGAAGGAATGCTTTATGAAAAACAGAACGCCTTTCTAGAGGTTGGCTTTAAAGGGATGAGGGCTGAGAAGGAAAGGGGTATATCTGAAGACAAAACATAACTACTTCTGAACAGAAATCACTATCGCTTGCCAGCATGGGATGGTAAATCAAGGGAGTAGGACTACACCAGTCTGATTTTAAGTTAGGTTTATGGCATCATTCATATTGATATTTACATTTATATTTATAATGCTTTTATGTATAGCACTACATGCTTTTTAAAGAAAATGGGGATATTACAGAAAAGTTGAAGAAAAAGTAATCGATTTCTATAGCTCAAGGACAACCATTGTTAATATATTTTTGTTTATTTCCTTGTCTCTCCCCCCCAGTATAGTTGTAAATAGGTATCTTTTAGAGCTGACAGTTGATCTGGTAGCTTAAATGGAATATAAATGCCAGTTGTACATTTCTCATGAAGAGCTGGTTTTGGAATATACTAGAGTTAGCTATACACTGAATGTTCATCACTGGATTCTAAGACTTACTACTGAGTCTTCCCTTTTAATGAGCCTCACGTGAATGGCCCTAAGAAATAATGAACTGAATTCTATTCTTTGATCTGCTTCTGCACTTAGATGTTAAAGATATGGTTCTACAGGTTTTGATGTTTTCAGATTTTTAAAAAAATGAATAGCTTATTTCATTAATTGATGTGCAATCAAGAATCTCCCCCCCGCCCCAATTCAGGGAAGTGGCGATTTGATATTTAGGAGTTAGGTCATGGCTGTTACTCAGCATGGCTATTAGATACTTGGTTAGAATTTGCCTAAGATCAATACCCAACAGGAACTGGATTTAGGATATTAGAAAACAATGTTACCAAGTGGTCATTTAAGTCAATGATTCTTGTTTTATAGAGTTTGATGATTTTCAGAAAAAACATTGTCTCCCCTTTATTATAATAGAAAACAAGCACTTCAGTGAATATATTTAAGGTGCTTGGGGTGAGCTATCTGAATCTATTTGGTAATAGGCCACACTCTGGGGGACCTCTGTGCCTGTCCCTCTGAAGAGTGCTTAAAAACATTCATTATGGATCAAAGGCGTTATGTTGAGGGACTAAGCCTGATGGTCATCAAGCACAGGCTTTCCCATCACCTATTCTCCTTGCTGCATTTCTCAGGGTGTAAAACCTTCTCACTAGTTCACCATGCTTACCTGAGCTGGTGCCCTGTTGGAGGCTCCAGGACCGGGATTTGAGCCTTCCCTGGCTCTTTATCCCCTGGGGCTGACATGGAACCATCTCGGGGGACAGGTGAGGGCTGATTGCTGGGCCGGGCCCCTCTCATGGTTCCTTTTCCCCAAGTGAACTGGGAACCTTGGCTGGCCAGCTCTTCAACTGGTGCTGCTGGTCTAGCTGGTCAAAGACATCTCCGGCCAGGCTGGGATTCTCAATGGATTTTTTTAAACAGACATCATTCTCCTACAGACTTTTTTAATGGCCCCTACTCTAAGGGATTAGTTGTTTGAATTATATCTTTCCTTATATGTTACACCAGATTTAAGACTATTTTGTAACCACAATATGTAGTCAGAGCACAGAGTGTTTTCAGACATGCCTTGTTTTGTACTTCATACAGGGTGTGCCGTGTAAGGGTGGCGCCCATTGGCTGTGGTAGCATTTAATTGCATTGCCATGGGAGTGATTTAAGGCCTTTAGAATTGGAGCTTTTGCACTTTATGCTCTTTTTGTGAACTGACCGTGATAGCTACCTTTGATATTAAAGCCATAAGTGGCATTTTCTGTGAATGACTATGTTTGTGTTTATTTCCAAAATGATTTCTGCAATATCTGCAGTGAAAAATGCGTTTACTGGATTGTATTGTAAAGTACATTTGCTCAAGTTCATTTATTAATGAATTTGGGTATCACTGTTACTAAACATACTTAAAATTAGTATAATTGTTAGTTTCTTCTCAGAGCTGTGAAATTCATCCACCTACATATTTCCAGTATAAAGTACCTAGAAGCAGCTTATGTTTGACAATTCTATAATTATGTCATATGGATATAAAATCTCAAATAGAGAAAACAACTCTTCTGTGCTGGAGTTCATCCAGTCACTGGAAAGAGAATCATGTTAACAACAGGAAATAGTAAATGAGCTTAGCAGGAAAATTCCTTATCTACCTATTTTTCTTAATTTTTAAATGTTTTTAATTAAAGGATTTGTAGTGACACGGCGCAGGGTCCTGTGGGGCCCTCCCGGATACAAATCCTTTCTGTGTTCCCTGTTTATAGGAAATAGGCTTCATTCAGCCTCCTTGACCTTCCCTGAGTTCCAACGGGCAGATTCAAACAATTGCTCATCAGGGAAGGGAGGGAACGAGGGAATGCGGAGACAAAGGAGGAGCAGTCAAGAAACAATAGTGCAGCAATCAAAGCAGGGTCCTGGTTCCTCCTCAAGGTATATACATAACACCTTTGAGTTCTGTGGGAACTAAGGCCCCGACCCAGGTGGAGGATGGTAACTTCAGGCTGAGCACAAGATTCCTGGAACACCGCCTGTACCTCACCACCAACCAGTCGGAATAAAGTCTGCGCAGAGTGGACGATAATGGAGACTCTGACCCCCTCCCCAAATGATTAACTACAATTAACTTCCCCTTTCTCCTTTAAAAACTTTCGTGGTTGAGCAGAATCTTCAGAGTTGGTTTTTGGATACCTTCTTCCGAGGTTGCTGACCTCCTGAATAAAGCAACCTTTCCTTTCCAACCAACACTGACTTCTGGGAGGCAAGCAGCTGGATCTGAGTTGGGAAACAGGAGGTTATAATATTTAAAAGACTAAGGGGGGAGGGTATAGCGCAAGTGGTAGAGCGCACGCACAAGGTCCTGGGTTCAATCCCCAGTACCTCCTTTAACAATGAGTAAACCTAATTACCTCCGCCTCAAAAAAAATTTAAGACTAGTATGACCATCAGAGAAGAAAGACTGGATCAGCAGTATCATTACAACTAGCCTTTTAGACTTTTTTTCTGGCCAGGGTGAGGGGTGACCGCAGAGCCCTTTGACAATCTGATGGAAGCAGTGGGACTTCTCCCTAGGAAAACGCCCATACGCAGAACTTTCTGGATATTCAGATGTCCTTAGAAGCCACCCAGATAAAGCAGCCCGTGGCAGGACACTAAGCGAGGATTCAAACCCTTTCTGGTGATGAAATTGGTACACCTCCACAGCTCAGCCTCCCCGACTGCCCTCAAAGACCAGCACTCCAACCCCAGCCCCCTTCTCTCTTGAGGACTTGACACTGAGGGGCCAGAGCGGGACACCAAGGGGGCTGAGAACTTAGGCCTTAGGAGCCCTCAACTGGGAGTTTACTTCTTCCTCAAAACTCTTTCTGGTTTACAGACTCAGACATGCCTCAAGACCGCGTCTGGGTCTGTCGTGCTATTCTGCTTTTATGTTGAATTTTTCCATAAGATTTTTAATATATGTGGGTTTTCCTCCTCCACTCTCTCTGGGGTGGGGTTGTCTCCTCTTGCCCCACCTTGTGGGGGCTGGCAGCCCCTCCCCACAGTTTAGGGAGTTATTTTTGTCTCAATTGGGCACTTCTCTCTCTGACCACCTGCAGGCCCGGTGGCACTCAGTTTACCTGGCCAGTCTTTCTGGGTATTAACTCACGAAAAGGGAAAGATCAACCTCCGCTGGGTTTTTTTTGGCTTAGTTTATATTTCTCACTAAAACAAAACGTGATTCAGCTGCTTTTACAATTGAGCACAGAGACCATAATGCTATTTTTAGAAAGGTAACAAATAGCAATAAAGTCAGTAGAGGCTTTTTGTATTGTATTGATGGCAAAGTGGCTGACTGTAAGGCCAGGGGCCCTGGGGGACAGAAAATGCGCAAAGACCTTGATGACACTTGCTAGAGATGAATGCCCATGAACAAAGGAAGCCTTAGCCGCCGGGGTGGGAGGGACCAGGTGAGACTCCTGGAGTAATATTGCCATCTAGTGGCCTTTCAGCATATCGCTGTCAATGGCACAAGCGAGGCCTTTCCCAATTGTGAAGCATCCCAGGACTCACTATAATTATCTGAAAACTCCCAAGTTATGCAACCTCTTTGGGCCCAGGTATAGTGGGAACTCTTAAGTTTAAATCCTTTGTGGAAGGAGAACTAACCTCATTTTCAAAATGGCAAAGGAGGTAAAGATTTTTGTGTAGGTGGGCACCAAGTTGGGCTTATCAAATTCAAGTGTCCTATTAAAACAAATGACTAGACAAAGTATAGAGAAGCAGTTGGCATATAGTAAGTGCTCAATAATGGCAGCTAATAATCAAGATAACCCACTACCAAGCAATGCTGGGTGACAGCGTCATCTTGTGGCCACAGCGAGGAACCACACCCCATCCCACACCTTCCCAGGAGCTGGGGTGTATGTGCACGTGGACGCCTCCCTCCTCTGGCGCCATAGTCCAAGCCACCTCTCTTCAGTGACAGACCTGCAGGTCCAAGTCCTTCCTGGCCATCTATTTGGACGTCCAATAGGCACCTCACCTCTCGTTAACTCACATCTCTCTTAAACCTTGCACTTGTGCACCTTCTCAGGGTCAGCTGATTAGAAATCTTAATTCCATGGGCAACCTTAATTAATCCCCTTTTGCCATGTGACCTAACATGTTCACTATGGGGATTAGGATGTGGGTGTCTTTGAGGGGCCATTAGCCTGCCTACCCCTCCCCACCCCAGTATCAGGTAGTGAGAGAATGATGCCATGTGCCCAAGCAGAGATGTCAGAAGAGAGGATTATGAGATAGTAGCCAACATTTAGTGAATGCTTGTGCTGTGTATATCAAGCACCTTATGTACACTAGTTCATTTAATCCCATGACAACTTTGCTACTCTGTGTTCTAGGCTCCCAATTCTCTTGGTCAAGTATGAAACAGACACTGAAGCACAGGAAGACTATTTAGAAGCTGGGCCTAGAAATCCATTGAAGTAGTCTGTCAGTGTTGCCCACTGTCAGTGGACTGCCTGGTTTCTGTCAAATTACTCCCAAGATGCAGGCTCTCTCAGGGTCCCCTCCCTCCCCTACCAGGCTCGTCTGCCAGGCCATAGAAGAAGAAGTCACGTGGCTTTCTTTGTTCCTTGTCACCAATTGCTTCTGAGTGGGTAACAGTGGGAAGGAGAAAATTCCTTTCTTCCCCTCCTCCTATTAAGCCACACATGTATTTGGAGCCTGAAAGGTGAGGGGGTGGGTTCGTTATGCTTCCTCAGATACGTAAGACCTCTTTTGAGTGCTCCTTACCAATGGATGGCAATTAGACTTATTTTTAGTGTATTTGAAAACTTTCTTTTCCCTGTTGCATTCTGGGAATCCAAAGAGCTTTGCTAGTCTTCTTTTTTTCTATTTATGATGAATATAATAAAAAAAAAAGCCCACACACAATATTGTATTTTGGTTGTTTCAAAATAATTATTCTCAAGCTTAGAGCTTGGCATCTGTATTACTTTTCTATGGCAGCATAACAAAATACTGTCAGCTTAGTTTAAAACACCATCTATTTATTGCCTCCCTGCTCCGTAGTCACAAATCCAAGCATGTCACGTAGCTGGCTTCCCTGCTCAGGGTCTCCTAAGACCGAAATCCAGGTGTCAGCCAGGCTGCTATTTCATCTGGAGTGCTATGCTTCCTTCTAGGCTTATTTAGAATTCAGTTCCTGTAGTTGAAAGGCTGAGGATCCTGTTTTCTTGCTGGTTGTTGGCTGAGGATACTCCTGGTTCCTACAGGCCAACCTCAGCCCCTTGCCTCCCGGCCCTTTCTGTGGGCACTTGCACTGTCATGCTTTGAACTCTCAGAGAATGGCAGTTTCCTTTAAGGGCTCACCTGATTAGGTCAGACCCACCCAGGAGGACCTCCCTTTTGATTAACTCAAAGTCACCTGACTGGGGACCTTAAATACATCTGCAGAATCCCTGTGCCAGGTAACCTAACCTAACAACAGCAGTGATATCTTATGTTCACAAGTCCCATTCACACTCAGGGACAGGGAATTATTCAGAATGTGGATACCTAGGGCAGGAATCTTAGGTGCTGTATTGATTCTCCAGGGCTGCCCTAACAAGTACCAAAAGCTGAGTGGCTTAGACAACAGAATCCATTGTCTTGCAGTTTCGAGGGTTAGAAGTCTGAGATCAAGGTGACCTCACAGCTCGGCTTTTTTGTGTGTGTGTGGGGGTGCTATGAGGAAGACTCTTCTCCATGCCTTCCCCTGGCTCCTGGTGCTTTGCTGGTAGCCTTTGGCATTCCTCAGCATGTGGAAGTGTCCTCCAGTCTCTGCCTTCCTCTCCAGTGTTCTTCCCTGGTGTTTGTGTCCAGGTTCACTTTTTTTTTTTTTTTTTTAATAAGGACACCAGTCACATTGGATTAAGGGCCCATCCTACTCCAGCATGACCTCCTCTGACCGACATTCACATTGCCCCCACTGTCACCCAAGCCAGCAGTTTAACCCATGACAGGCGCTGTCTTAGAACTCTGTGTACTGCTGCCTGGATAGCATTTACCACCCTTATCAGTACTCAGTGGTTTCTTTATGATTCTCCTGTCCCCATACTGAAGAAAAGCCCCAGGTTTTCAATATTTTATGTATTCCATCTCCTCTGTTCTTTTCTCATCAGCTGGGTAAGAAATAAGGATGTAGGGGTGATTGCCCTGGTCATGAAAATCATCTTTGGCTCAAAATTCTCAGCCAGCAGAATCAGAACAAGGAGGCCTGAGGTCTGCAATCCCCCTTAGTCCTGGAAGG